CCCAGCCCTCCCCTCTCTTTGTAAGACCAGCTGACCACCGAGGGCTATAGAATAATTTAAATGATCGATTCAGTGACTGTACTATGTTTTCACACTCACTTCAACTCAAATTTAGTTTATTTAGACGAGACGGGCTGCTCTCATCTTGAAAATGCCCTACACTATAAATCAGTATAAACAACTCCCCCATACCAGCAATCAAACTTGTGAGTCTACGAGCAGCGGTGAAGAAGCAAGCCACTCTACCACCACAAACAACAGAAGAATTCACTTTTAGATTAGACTTAAAACAAAACATAAGCAAATTAAAAACTTTCTGAATATACACGAAAAAACACTTTTCAAAACACAAGAGAATAAAACTTTCAAAATATACACAACAGAAGCTTTTAGGCGTATCCGTACGTCCTGGAGTCATTTTGTACCCCCGGGGTTGTATTCTTCACATTTTAGAAAACTTCTAGTACAAAGATCTCTTTGAAAGTTTCAGTATTTCTCAAAAAATCATTTTGACAGACTGCTATGCAAAGCGCATGGGATTAATGAGTAAATTTCCTCTTTGGAAAGTGGTGGCACAGAGTTCCCCACTTCGTATGGCTACGATAGTAAAACATGACGTCCAGATAGGGTTACGTGTTTCTCTTTCTCAGGAATGAATGAAAACCTCCGAGGAAAACTCTGTAGAAAGCCATCCGTCTCCCCAGACCAGACATGTCACTCCCCTCCTCCCCCCACTCCCCAGACTGGACATGTCCCTTCCCTCCTCCCCCCACTCCCCAGATACAAACATTATTGTAGCTTCCAATTTTCTCTTCCACTGAGGGGAGAAAATCCAAACAAAACAATATCATTTTGTTCAAATCACAATAGCCTTGACCAGTAGGGAATCACCAAGGTCACTCCATTCTGGCCAGTTTTACACTTTTTGAAAACAATTTTCAAGAATTTAAATATTAAGCTAAAAGCCTACTTCTTGGCTCAGAGAATGATGCATTTCTCCCTTTTTTAATATGTTAACTTTATGATGTTACCTGTAAAAAGTTGGGGGGGGGGGGTTGCAAATTTTAAAAAAAACAACTCCATTATTTGAAATTTCAGAAGACATTGCTGCTCAATGGATGTGATAAAAAAATGACACCAAAAATTATTTATTGTATCTCAAAAATATGAGGACTACACCTACATACGTACGTTCTACTTAATTATTACGATGCTGTCTTGCACAGTTTTTAGACATCACAAGATCCAGTATTTTTTTTCAAAATAATGAGCCAACATTTTTAAAAAACGTAGTCAGGCCTTCAATAGGTCATCAAAGGGAAAGTAGATTTTCATCTAAACTACAAGCGCATTATAAAAATCTTCTTCATTTCCAATTTGGAAAAATGATCCAATTAAAACTTTGTACCAAAAATGATATTGCATTATTAGATCATCGTCTTGAAGGAAAAAACAAAGTGAAATCTCAATCTCGTTTATGATGGAGACTTAGGCTGAGTTAATCCGAGACAAGGGGACATGAAGGGAAAAGTTGAAGAAGAAGAAGAGCTAAGGATGATCGCTGTTTGACAGGAAGGAAGTAGCAGACCACACCAGAGCACCTGCCAGACCACTTCCTCACTCCAGCTACCCCAAAAGGCAAACTAGACCCTGGCCCCGACAAACAAAATCTTTCTCTGTGCAGAAAACTTGAGGGGTGAAAATCATTGTACAGAATCGGACCACACAGGGCAGGAAGGGCAAACAGGGGGGGGGACATTTTTCCAAAACTTGAACACTTGATACACAGTTGGAATTATTTGCATTTAAAAAACACACTGTGCACACGTATACACACACACACACACACAAAATCCAAAAATCACTGTACACACAGGCATACACTCACACATGGTCTTACACACATACGGACACACACATACACACACACATAAAATGCAAAATCACTGTGCATATACGCACACACTCACACGTGGTTGCACACGCTCACACACACACACACACACACACACGCATACACACACACACACACACATACATACTCCTAACATACACCCATACACAGATCAACTGCTCAGTGCGATGCTCTATCATATGTCACTTTTCAAAATGTTGTATGGCAGAGGCTTCCACTAAGCAGTCGAGTTATACGATATATATATGTATGTAAATATATATATATGAGGCGTGCTGACTAAATGAGTTACTTCACGCATTCCAAGAATGGAGATGTCGGCTGAAAATCAACACTGGGGTCAGATTTACAGATTTTTAGTTGATGCCATTTTGTTCAAGTCTACCGTGTCTTTTATTCTTCCACACTTACAAATTGTACAAACTCCACCTATACAGTTGATGTATCAATTTCCATATGGCTAAAATCAGAAAGAAGTAACTCATTTTGTCAGCACACCTCACATATACTATGACATACACACACATTTACACACATATACATTAGAACATACGCACAAAAACATGCGCACACACAACCCCCC